CTACTACTACTACTACTCCTACTACTCCTGCTACTACTACTACTACCACTACTACTCCTACTACTCCTACTACTCATGCTACTACTACTACTACTACTACTACTACTACTACTCCTACTACTACTACTACTCCTACTACTCCTGCTACTACTACTACTACTACTACTACTACTACTACTACTACTACTACTACTACTCCTCGAATGTTCATTCACCTCTCTAGTCTTCAAGGAGGATTGGACCTCCACTGCCTGCCCCCTTCAACGACTCGGACGGGATCACACCGATCGATGGCCCAGGTCGACCTTCCGATTGCCGGCCAGATGCACCGTGCCAGCGCCAAGCCTCTGCGCTATTCAGGCCCCCAAAAGCAGGGAAATAAAATGGTCGTAATCTGCTTGTTTGATGTTGTTTTCCAGGCCGGCGGTTCATGAAAAGGCGAGAATATATGATAGAGAGAGAGTCTTTTTTGGCCTCTAGTTTTGGCCTCCACCCTCAGAAACAGAACCCAAAAACGACTTCTCTGTCCCATCCCACGACTTCTCCTTCGCATCCCTTTCTCTCAGTGCGTCAATCGATCGCTTGGTCTCTCATCAAGTTGCTCGGGCTTCAGATCGCAATGAATCAGGGAGGCTTGGACCACACAGATCATCGCCTCACAACGTGAGCACGCCCCCTCCGTGAACTCCGTTTCGGTTCGGGTGGTGCGTCCAACATGGTTCAAGCACGGAAGCTGAAGAGATGGGCCAGGAGCCCTAGGGATAGGAGATCGCTTCAAACTCACCTGACGGGGGTACCTGACCCATCTCATACCAATCTGGCACGGAGAAATCACCGAACCGTTTCAACAGATGACACTCTGACCCTCGAACCGTTTCGATCCTCAACTCCAAGTCCACCTGTTCCCCCTCAATAAAAGCTTTAAAGTAGGATGTGTGACAGGCTAAAAGATGAATCCACTTGATCCACCAAGCATAGAGCCATCCGCCTGGTCCGGCTTCCGGTCCGGGTTAACCCAGCCTCTAAGAGTTGGCGCGTGACGCTTTGGATCGTGGGCAGCGCAAAGCCTTCGGCGAGCGGTCGCGCGGGGGCACGGTGCCCGAACAAAGCACTCGCCCCGCAGTCAGTGTGTTTTCTGTTTCGGAGGAAGTAGAAGTATAAGCACACTATAGAAGCACAGAACATGCAAAGAGATGTCATATAAATGTGTGTTTCTTATTCTAATTGATAAATGATGTTCTCCTACAGTAGGGTGTCATGTTTTTTTCTCTTTCTTGCGAGCTGTGGAGTACTGATCATCCCTCTTCCTCAGAAGAAGCGTTGGATTGATGAAGAACCTCTTGTAGGAGATGGCAGTCATGCTGATGGTGCTGAGTGACATTACTGACATTTCTTAGTTTATGAACTGCTATAAAACCAGTTGTTTTCAAGCATGTTCAATAAAGGAATTGAATGATCCAATAACTTTTCCTTCGGCTTGTCCAGACCCACCCTCAGCATCACTGGGAAGGCCCTGCCCTTGTAGCTGTTCCACTTCAAGAACTCCAACAAGTTCAACTCCAGCCTCGGAAGGAGTGGCGAGGTGTGAGCCGATCACCACAAAAGGACTTGTTCGAGATCGGCATGCATAAAGTAGCCACATGTTATATATATGTATATATATGTGTGTAATATAGCTGTCCTGTCGCTTTTCACTTGATAGGATCACTGACCATTGAGTCAAGATGTCATTTGGGGCGACATCTCCTGCCACATTTGCCGCTTTTGCACGCTTTCGCCAGTGTCGCGGCGAAAGGAAGCTCGTGCTCCTTCTGGGATTCCTCATCTCCCAATAATAATCTAATATGATGTGATAGCCATAATCTCGAACAACCAATTCCCAGATCTTCCCAGATGCTCCATGTATGTCATCTACGGCCACATTGACCCCATTTCAACCAGCCCAATGTATATCACTCTTCCAACGACGAAGGAGTTTCCAGGTCCGAACCTCGTCGACCCGGTCGACCCGGTCGCCGGAGCGCCGTGCCCCCCCTCCCGGTCTCTCCAGGTGATCGAACTTTGCAGCTGAAGAAGACATAGAGCCGTCTTCTTTTGGGGGGATGAAATGAGTCAAACTGTCATCCGAAATCCCATGGGAGACCTTTGGGAGGAGATGTGAATCGCAAAAATCGTGGATTGCTCAGCCAACTAAAAGGACGGATCAGACACTGTCGATCGGACACTTTGGGAGGAACTTGCTTGACTGGTGACAGGTAGCCTGAGGTTCGGTACCTGAAGTTCAGTACCTGACATGTTGAATCATGGTTTCATCCATCGCACCTCCGATCCACGTGGCTTCAAATGGCCCAATGGTACGACCGGTGCCCCAACCCATCCAACGGCTCCCTGCCAACGGCTCGAGGGAGTTTTACAAGAAGTTTCTGCAGATGTTCTGGGCCCTCCCGGCAGTTCGAAGGCAATACAGAGATGCTTCTTGAAGACGAAACAGTCCAACATCCGAACGATGTGATACCTCGGTCGAGACGACCGACCCCAGAGGGACCTGTGGACCGAACGGTAGCAACAGTAGGATTCATGGAAGAACCATGGGGGTGAAAAGGGTTTTGTCAAAAAGGAACACATGATGTTACATGATGTTACTATCGGAAAAAAATACAAATGGTATGTTACTCGGAAAAACTCCAGAATTTCAGAGAACACCCAGGTCAAGGTTGGTGCTTTTGATGGTCTTCTGAGGCGACCGGGTCTACTTCAACTCTGCCTGAAGGAATTTGCTCATCTTGGACTCCCCAAGAATCCAGCGCCGTCCCTGCAATGGAAACCCTAGAACCTTCCACAACGACCCAGGGTCGGAGTCAAGAACGGCCCAACCCAAAAAAACACTCAGAAACACGTGGGGTCGTTCCGTAAATGGAGATCCTTTACATACCCAGACACTCCATAGGACTGGAATATATGCCGCCCCATTGACCCCCTGGCACCACCCCAATTGATCGGCATATATGGCAGTCCCATGGAGCGTTTGGGATAGGAAGTGGCACAAATGGCAAGCCTCCGCGGACCATCCGGGAGTCCAGTTTTCGACGTTTTTTCAGGCGGTCGACAACTCGGTGAGCGGACGAATGTCCTGAAGACTTCGGATTGGCGGATTGGTCTTTTAGTGGTGGCTTAACAGTGATGTTTGAGTCTAAAAGTGGTCCTTGAGTCAAAAGACGAATAAATGTATCTGAATGTTAAAGAAGGGTCTTTGAGTCTAGGGTGTCTTGACCAAGAGATCAAGACCCAATGCATTCCAGCCGAACAAGAAGCAGTCCACTTCAGTCCAGACATGACATGGGACATCTCTGCCCAAGCGCTGAGATACCAGGACAAACCCCATCGTTGATTGATCGGCAGCCGTTCCAGGATTTTTGGATGTTCTTCAAACCAGACAGGCTGAGTGAGGTGCTCCCCTGTAGCACAGGTCTCCCCAGCGACCCTTTGCTGGCGCAGTGTCCAGGTGCCATGTTCTGGTCCATGGCACTGGCATAGGTCAATATGGCAGTCCCATGAAGTGTCTGGAATATGGTCCAATTCTCCCCGAGTGAAAAGAAAGCAAAAACCACCAGCACCACCACCAGCACAACAACAACACCACGGGAGCCAGCCGTTTCGGGTCGGGTCTTCTTGGTGCCCCCGTGGAACGCTGGATCGCGATTGGGTCCTCGTGAAAAACCCTGGGCCGCCCCGACTGGTCTTCCGGGTCGAAACAGGAATTCAAGCGCTTCAGGACATTCGCTTCAATGCAGCCCTGGTTGCGGCTTGGGCGGAGGTCCCGTGGGCGGAGGGGCCGCACACAGGGCGGAGCGGTGTTGTGGCCCGGTTTCGGGATGTCAGAGACTGAGGTCTTGCACTGGGAAACGGCCCAGGACCTTTTGTTATAGTCATAGTGCTTTACCTCGTTGAGTGGTGTTTTTGTATGACAACTCCTATAAAACGAGGTCTTTGATCTGTAGGGTGACCTGTAGGGATCATGAAAGATCACTGGGTTGGTCTGCAGTGCCTGTTTGTCGTCAATTAATGCAACTGTGTGTCAAAATGGGTGTTTAATGGTTGACGATAATCTCAAGAATTCCAAGTCAAATCTCCTCAACTTGAGCTTCAACAATTCTTTCGACCCCTGCCACTTGAAAAATAGAGGAGAAGAAGAAGAAAAAGAAGAAGGAGAAAAAGGATAAAAAAATAGAGGGTCCGATCAGGAGACACCAAACCCTCGACTCCTCTGAGGCTCCCATCCTGGTTAAAGTAGCTGGGTCGATTCTTGATAATCTTCAGCGCCACCAGCCTGGCGGCGACCGGTCCCGTGTTGAGTACATCGTTTCCAGCACTGGAAGTCTTCATCCAAGGGTTCCAAAAGGCTCTTGGGGAGTGCACAAGGGCTATAGCGAATGAGCGAGGGTGGATGGGCGTATCAGTGATCAGATATCTCTTTGATTCATGCCTGGAGGGTCAGCGGTCACTTCGGATGTTCGCCCGGAGAGGATGCTGGTCCCGTTGCACCCGTCTCCTGCGGAAGGCTCGAAGATTGGAATTGTTCATCTTGACATATCTTGACGATCCACTTCTTGGCAACGTCCAAATCTGGGTTTTCATACATGAGCTACGGCCGTCAACCAAACCAGGTAGAATCCTGAAGGCACTCCAAGTTCAAAAGGTTGCCCTTCTAGCCGCCCCCAGTCCAGCGTCATCAAACAGAGACCCACCTTTGATCCACTTGGCATTTCAGGACTTGCCCAAAGCTGCCTTGACCTGGCGGAATCACACGTTGACCAAGCGTGACCCGGGAGTCTTTTCCAAAGACTTGTCGTGCACGGCCTCGATCCCCCTCAAGTTCGACCCCGAGGGAAGCTGAAGTGCATCCAAACACCTACCTGGATCATCCAGCCAACACACCCAGAACGCATGATCCTGGTGAAAGATGTTTGGGGGGAGAGAAAGGCTGCCACTTGAATCACTTGACTTGGAAAAGGCCTATCTATGAGTGGATCGGCTGTGCACCACAAGTCACCACAGTGATGTGGCCAGTTGCTCCCCTACACATTCCACGAGAAGGAGCACCAAAAGTGAGAGATTCCCCTTCAGTTTCAGGCTTCGCCCTGCCCATCCCCACCAAAAAATAACAGCACGGAGTCTTTACCCTCTGGCTCCCTTTGGCGCTCCATGGAGGGTCGCCTAGGCTCTCAAGGAGCTCGTAGCTCTTCCCGGTCTCCTGGCCGCGGACGAGACGCGAGTCTGACATGAGGGGATGACATGGGGAGACGCCAAAACACCATCTCAACCCCCAACAAACCTTCTTTAAGTGAAGCTGTCGGATGCTTTCTTGTTGGATTCACTTAAGGAGATTCACTTAAGAAGGAAACCGTCCAATTGTCACCCCAAAGGCCTCCTTTGGGAGACAGACCCAGACTGGAAGATATTGGAAGACGGCACTTCACTTCCAGGTGCTAGGATTATCATTTTACGACAAGACCTGAAAACAGACTCACTGGCACCGGTTGCGGATCTCGGCTCCTGGTTGAGGATCTCGTCTCCGACATGACCTGAAGTGCGGAAAAAATCGATGGCCGAAACCGCCTCCAGCAGCAAAAAGGCGAAGCAAGACCAACTGGAAACCCTGGGAGTGAAAGACCACGTCAAAAGATTGTCTTTAACCCCAGGCTTCCAACCACCATCAACTTAATAGGCTTTGCCGAATCAACTAAGGATTTTACACTACAAACATCAGGTCAACCATTTTTTTAATGGTCTTGGAGGTCTAGGGTTAAGGTGACCTGACAAGGAGCTTCCTTTACTTTGGAAGTGCCAAAAAGGGTCATTTGGAAGCCTTTCGGAAAGAGATGTTGAACCTCCGCACCAAAGATGGGTGATGTGCTGGCAGCTGGTAGTTGCAGCATGTCGCAGTGTTTGCCTTGAAAGCAACATTGACAAGTAAATCTGCGCCCGCCCTGCGTCAGTAGCCGGTCTGTTACAACGATCTCTACATGACTAGTCTTTGGATTGACTTTGTGCGTCCGCTGGGCTTCTTTGATCTGTTTCTTGAGCTCAAAAATCGGTCTCTGGAGTCACTTCAAAACGAAATAATTTCCCCATGATTCACGAAAGTCTAATCTTGACTCTTGACCATACAAAGTCGACAAATGGACAGACTCTGAAGAAAAGGTAAAGCTCTGCTGCCCTGAGATGGGTAGCTAAAGGCGGTCAGCAAAAAAGAGCCGGCTGATCCAATGGCCGTCTGCGAGACTTGCAAAAGCTCCTCTAGTTTGGCTTGCTATGTGTGGATGCTCACTGACTTAAGTTGAAAGGTGTTTTGCTTGGGTATATCATCCATGTCTATCCCATTCCCTGGGCCCAGTGGATGATTCATGGGGCCTGGCTGCTCTAAAATAGTTACACATTTGTATCTGTTTACCGACAGGTAGTGCGACACCCCCAGGGTAAAGCTGGGATGGTACATTGCCCTTGATCGACCGTCAAAACCAGTTCTCACGGTCCCCCGTCCCATCTCGCATCCCCTTTCTTTGCCACCAGAATATCCAACCGGCCGCGGATTTCGGTGGGTTTGGTGGATGATTCTTTAGCAGGTACTCCAGGTACACCACCACTCAACCCCCGTCCACCGAGCAACCAATGTAGTTGTGCTCTGAATTGTCCAGACCTGTGCTCGACCCTCGCGCGTTTCGGGTCGGACGCCAGTGGTCCGACCGCTTTCCACGTCCCGTTTCGGCCCGAAGGCCTTCGGTTCGGGGTGTTCCACAGTCCGAAGGACCGAAACCCCCGCCCTCCTTCGGGTCGCGGGGAACTGGTCCTCCACTCCCCGGTGGGTGACGGGAGACCGGGAAGAAGAACGTTTCGACGAACGACCGGACGGGACTTCCAGGGTGGACGCCCGGTCCGACTGGTGACCTGGTCACTGATTCACCACCTCGCTGGCATCCACTTCGAGGGTGGGTTCGTTTGGGGGTACGCGGTGACACCCGGGTGACTGAAGACGAATTCGTCGCTGAGAACGTATATGGCGTACGAATTCATCCCTGCCACAGGCAGGGCATATCCCAGACACGAGCGATGGTACTGTGAGGTACTGTACCTAGAGAGCCCGTTTCACTCACCCTGCCAGTACTCTACTCTGCTCATTTGTTGGTGGTCAACCGGTCGGTCTCCCGTTTTGGACACAGAGCCTGCCTACTTTGACCCCTTTTCAATCAACCACCCCTGGCCTGATAGGTAAATATGGCAGTCCCATTAGTCGTGTCTGGGTATACTCTTGTGCCAGGACAAAAACAACACTGCGCCATTGTGAATGGGAGAAACATCGCACTTCCTTCGGCCCTGAGTCTCCGATCTTTGGTCGCTTTGGCCCTCTGATGCTCACTGTCACCGGCACCTCCTCTCAACATGAACAATCACCCAGGACATCCAGGCAAACCACGATGTCGCTGGGAGTCCCAGTGGTTCCAGTTCGACTAACACCATACACCGAACGAGGGCCCCTGGTTCCTTATATAGTACTCGTGGGAACTGCCTGGGATGCACTAAGTCACATGTCACATGTCACCTTGGCCAGTTCTGTCTAATCCCAGACGCGACCCTGGGCCCTCAGATAGAGGGGGTCTGGGGTTTCTCACCAATCCCTTGGGTTTTGGACGGTCACCGCTCGGGCGTCGTTCCGTGAACCGGAGCGACGCAGAAGTCGGGTCAGGGGTTCGTTCCCTATGACCTGCTCCGCCGGTGGATCCGCCAAGCCTCCCCACAAGGGCCTGAACCAACGACTGGTTCGGAGCTCGGAGCTCGGAGCTCCCACCGTGCCATCGGATATCACTCAAGAGTGACCTAACTAGGACCCGTTACTAAGGGGTGTCAATTATAATATATGATAGCCCCTTATAGACTTATAGCCCCTTATATGGAGGTGATTCAGGGCCCCAAAAAAACCGCGATGAGTGTCAGGTCCTGGTGCACTTCGTCTACTGGCACACTTCCTGCTCCAACGGAAGGCGGCGCGCTCTGGCGGCGTGGTGCGCCGCTGTACCCCCCGGGGCCTCCGTTGTGAAGGCCCTCGCTGGGCCAGGTGAGAGTCCGCTTGGGATTCCTGGGCGTCCGAGTGAGTTCGACGATGGACCGATGGACCTTGGCACCAGCCAAGTAATTAGAGGAAATTCTTGGACGGACACCCAGCTATCATTCTGCGCTTCTTGACCGGATTCAAAACTCCCAGAACCCTGCAATGAGTTCACCACGGCCGACCCAATTCACCACGCATGGCCGACCACCAAATCGCTCGGCCGAGTCCGTGCCGTGCATCGGTGGAGCGTCTGTGTCCGCTCGTCCGAAGGACCGGTCTGGTCCGCGCCGAGTCGGTCGTCCGGGCGTCCTTTGTTTCAGATCGAGAAGATCTTGGGCATTTGGGTGTTGACCACTGAAAAAAGCTGGTGCATATATATATATACCTGGATCTTCCAACTGTGCAGAATGTTTGCCTTTTCATCAATGAAATCAACCAAAAGGCATCAATATGGCACAGTTGGAAGACCTAGGTATATACTACAAGGACGTTTTTGCCTACTCCAAGTCCAAAATCGTCCAAGATGTGCCAAATACTAGGACCCTCCAACTAAGGGGTGTCTATAAACAGCCCCCGCTGTTTAAGAGCTGATGGAAGCTTGTTTTTTTACGTAAGGCAGGGATGTCCCAAAACCCGGGCCAGACGTGTCCGGTCCGTTGGGGTCTTCTTTGCCCTAGACTTCCAAGACCATGGTTCACCTGGTTTTTGTAGTGTAAAATCCTTAGTTGATTCCATAAAGCCTATTAAATTCATGGTGGGCCAGGAAGCCTAGGGTTGGACTTCATAGACGTCCACATTCCCAACTCGATCGCACCCGTCTCATCGGACTCGATCGGACCAGATCGGACCCCCCGAGTCGCACCACGAGCGAGCTGTGATCCTTCCGAGCAGCGAAGTGGTGGAGTAGACGTACTCCTCGTGACCTCAACGACCGTCCAACGACCATCCAAGCTCTGGAGAAAACCACCCAGCAGAACGGAATGTGGCAGAACGGAATTCCCTAGCCTTCAAAGACCATTAAAAGAACGGTTGAGCTGGTGGTGCAGTGTAAAAATCCTTAGTAAAATAATGGTTCTTTGGTAAAGACCATAACAAAACATGGTTGTTTGAATCCTATAGGGAATTGTTTTTGAATCCAGACAGGTCATGGGGGACCCCGTCACCTGGGGGTACCCAACTGGAACAGTCGAACTAGGTCGGGTTCTTCGGCACGGCGCTTTCGGCACGTCGCAGCGATCGTGTATTGGGTCCTCGATTTTGGGGGATCGCTGTAGACCTAGAACCTGAGTGACCCCTGCTTTGGAGTCCAAACATGGTGTTTTTTTCTGTTTTTTCCTATCAAAACAGATGTCATATGGGTTCTATAGGTATATATAGACCCCTGACGACCCTGACCGTTGCTTCCAATCACCGTTGCGCCACCCAGGAACAGCTGTTGTAGACGTCCACGATCCTCGGCGTCGGCGTCGTCGGTGCGTCGAGACGTCGGTCGGAAGGCTCCAAAGAGATCCAATGTCCAGTGCACTTGCTGGGAGATGGACCAACTAATCCAACAGAGATTGAAGAGCCCGACCCGTTCGACTATCCCAGTTGGGCCCATACACCAGGACCCGACCTCGTTCAGGGTGTCTATCAATAGCCCTTTATATAGAGGTGACCACCGGATGGTGTGGCGTCCCGAATGCCACCAAAAAAAGGCGCCAGCATCTCAAAGGATGTTCTGGATATGGCGCGTGGGCTCCGGGGATGTTTTCCAACAGCCCCCTTTATAGGGTTTAGGTTTTAGGGCCAGGCACTTAATTACAGTGCTTTCAGAGGTTCGATTGCACTGGCACGCGAATTCGTCTATCCATAGGGGTCCATTTGAACTACCAAATCTTGGGGTAACTTGTGCCCATCGAACCTTTGAAACCACTGTTAAGTGGCCCGAAGCGCGCCTTCAAACAAGGCACACGATGTTTTCGCCCTGGTGAAACCTCCAGGGCCAGGGTGTTTCGGTGGCGACCCTGAGGTGACCTTCGGCCTCCAGAACGCCAGAACGCGTTGCGGAAGACACCGAGGCATCCGGAGCCGGTCGGCGTCATCAGTTCGGCCCCCGGTCGGAGGCGCATCAGTTGGCGCCAACACCAGGTCAACCGTTAAACGGCCGAACGGCCTAAGCACTCGGTCCACTCACTCCAGGCCATGTAGGTCGATGGTCGATGGTGGTTTCTCATCTCTGTCCAACACGGTTTTGGTCGTTGAGGAACAAATAGCAAAACCACTAACTACCAAACATGTTTTTTCATGGCATCTGGCTATATAGGTAGCAAAACAATCTTTCTCATGTGGATCCCACCATGCACGGTGTCACCCCCAGATCTAGCTTAATCTAGCTTGGGAAGATCTACTAGCCATCGGCACATGATTCAATTCTAACATCCTTGTTCTGCATCTCATGTCCATGGGAACTTCATGGAACATCATGGAATTTCAGGAGATTATGAGCCCAGAACTTCTGGGACTTGACTCAACGCCTCCACCTGGACATCATCAATGACCACTGGTACCGAAAAATGAGCACTTGATTGGACTAGGGGGAAGGACCATGGTTTTCTCCACCTGGTACTTCATCAGGGATGTCTTCACCGGGTCCAGGAACCTCTTCAAGCGCGAGCGAGCGCTTAACGCGAGTCATGTCCGGTCCTGGTACCACCAGATCAGATGGCTCGATTGGTCCGAAACCCTGGTCCCACCCGGCCAGGCACCCTCCAACAGAGGTGGGTCAGGACCCGAACATGCCCGAACTAGACTATACCAGTTGGGTACCGTCCACTCCCGCTCCACCTGCTCAGAGGTGGGTCATGACCCGGTCACATTCGACGAACAATCCCGTTGGGTACCCCAGGTAGTTCCGGGTCCGACTCGTGACCTGGTCACGAAGGACCTCCTCTGAGAGCTGGAGTCGCTGGGTCCAAACGGATCATCGAGTCATGGTGGAAGAGCCGGGTAGGGGACACATCCTCTGACCGGAAACCAAGCATCCGCTCCGTCACAGCCTTCAGTAGCGCTCCATGCCGATGCCTTCCTTTGGGGCGTACCTCGAGGCTTGGCTTGGGAGAATGACTACCTGGTGTTTTCGAAGCAAAGCAGCTCAAGTCTCCAAGACCCCAGAGACTCAGCTCCAAAAGACGAAAAGACAGGCACAAGACAGGGGCCAAGCTCGATGACCTTATGTGCATGGGTGTGTATTGTCAAGCCGGGAGTCGCCCTGGCTGGGAGAACCCCGTAGACTGGGTACACTGGTCTATTCTCCGAACCGTCCCGGCGTCAGAAAGGCTCCAAATCGTCGTATAATTACGGCTCGTGTCCAACAGATCAGTGTCAGGTGTTCGTCCAAAACCCGGTCAAGACCCTTCAGGGTCCAGAACATGGTCTCTTCCAACAGATCAGTGGCTCTTCACACCGTCGACTTCCAGACTCGATGCTTCGATCTCACTGACCACTCGCCTCTCGTGGTGCCTCCTCCATCGCATCGCGCCCCCGGAAAAGCCGCTGTTCCCGGTACGGAGGCGCGAAGGGCCGGAGGGGCTAACAGCCCGAGCCGAATGGCCGACGGTGGCGGAGGAGGGTGGGTGGAAGGATGAACGACAAGGTGGTCGTTCAAAGCTTGATCCACCGGTTCGTGTTTGGAAGGGACACTGATCCCCAAAAGGTTCCCCATGATTCTTGCAACTGACTAGCTAGGTCCCCCCACCTTATGACCAAAACTCATAATACTTACATGCTCGAGGGCTGCATGAAGCATTCGGTCGCTTGAAGTCACGACACTCCAACACTCCACAGACATTGGGGTGGTTGATTTGACCCGAGGGTCAATTGATCAGCATATATTCCATGATATTCAATACATATTGGGTATATCCCAGACACCCTGGGCCCTGTGGATGCTGATGGTTCAGCTGCAGGCCTTTCTCTAAAAGAGTATGAGAATTGTTTGCCGCCTATGACAGGTGTCCTGGGACACTCCCTATCCATACCAGCACCCGACTTCCTTGCCAGGTCACCAGGCGTTTTGGACGGTGTTACATTCCGTGTTCATCCCTTTTCGATGCATTCATGTAGACTCTTGATTGATAAAGCCACCAGATGAAGAGGATGTCCAATTCAATCAAGAGTCTACATTGCTTGCTTCTGTCCCGCCTCCGACTTCTCTTTCGGTGGCTCTTTGTTTGGCGGCATTGAAGACCACCATGTGGCGCGGAGGGATACACGCCGCAGCTCCCGGAGCTGGAGGAAGAGGTGTTCAAAAATATCTGCCCTACCAGGGGGTTCGCATATATGGGTTTCTTTTGTTCTTTTCTTGCTTAAGGTGATTTTTTGTCCGAAAGAAGAAAACCAACATCACCTTAAGCAAAGGTGTCGGACAGCACTGCAGAACCATCACCATACCCAAAGGACGAGGAGCACTGCCCCGAAGTTCCTCTCTGAGACTTGCTACAGTGCTACAGGATCTGCCACGTAACGTACCTGGTGACCGGTTGATCGCCAGGTGCTCAGCACATGGAGTGGTCAGTGGTTCCGGCGTTCTATAGACATGCTTTATATCCCTGGATCCCACCCCAGCTTGCAGCTTGTGGGAGTCACAGTCAGAGTCCTTGTGACGCTTCTGCAGTGCTGTCCGACCACTCGGTTCAGGTTCCGATGGAGGGCTTGTGACCTCTTGTGACAGGGCTTAAACTTCTAACTGATAGATCTGTACCAGGATCATCCTGTCTGGGTGTCCTGGCGTTCGACTACCCTATGTAAACAAACACATCTCCAGAGACCTTCAGGGCACCCGGACTGTGTCAGTGCTAGGTCACTGGTGGGCGAAAGAAAACCAACGGCATCGCTTTCACGGTCACACCGATCCCTGGGAGTTCGAAAGTGTCCTGTCCGACCCGAGACCAACAGATGTGCATGGTGTTTTTCTTGATACTCCCTAGGGCTCCAGTCGTACCTTCTAAGAAGGTGCTTGGGGTGGGTTTAGAGGGTCCAAATACCTTCTGAGGAGGCACTTGGAGCCCTAGGGACTACTATCTAAGATGATGTATGGCTGCATTTGCTGAGCCCAACACGAAGCACGCTCCAACGACCGCCTCTCCAACAATCTCCAACGCTCCTCCCTTTTCAGCTTCAGCCGGACTCGCGGCTTCGTCCGGTGCGTTTTTGCGGTGTGGAGGAGATGGCAAACGGCGCCACTCACTGGGCTTGGTGTGCAGACATGATAAGACAGTGATCCCAGTGATCCCCAAATAGATAGAAACGGTGTCCAAAACATGTTCTGTGTGGGGATCTACTTTTCTAGCTAGTTGGGGGTCTATATGTATGTAGCATGCAGGTGTCGTTTCGTTCAAAAAAAGCTTGACGCAAAGCAAAGCAACAGAACCTCAGGTGAAGCTTCGCCCTAATGCTGCCGTCCCCCTACCACGAAAACCGGAAAGCTCTAATTGCTGCCCACCCTACAACGATGGCCTTGGGCCAGGTGGGGTGAACAAGATGAGATCTCAAAATGGACCAGGCGTACATGCGCCCTAGCCTGTTCGATCTTCGCAACATGGGTCTTCCCGGGGCAAAAAAATACACAGAAACACTTCCAGTGGGTCAAAGAGTGTAGTCATCCATGCTTCCTTTCAGCCACATTCGTGGATCCTGTTCCCATCCATTCTGAGAAAAAGGATGGAGAGATGGATCTGGGTCATCCACTTCCACAGCCAACCACCGGAGCAAACCAGTGAATGGTTGGACTGGGCTAAAGGATCCGCCAGTTTCGTTCCCATCGCTTCTGTCGCTAAGCTCTCTACCAGCACACCTCCACTCCTCGTGGTGGGTTTTTGGCACCCGGACCTTCACTGGGCTGTTGACCCAGAACCAGATCTCAGCACTCTGAATTCATCGCCCGCACAGGAGCTTTGGCCAACCATTCCTCCGCACAGATGGGGCACAGAACGAGACAAGGAGAGTGACTTCGTGGAATGGCCCCTCGACTTCCCCCCTTCCTCCCACGCGCAGCGGGAGCTGGATCGTGCGTGCTCGCCTTGCGATCTGGTGGCCTTGAACATGCTACAAGTGGCTCCCAACATTGGGGAATCTGCGTGGAACTAGGATTGAAGTTCATGTTTGCAATGCTGTGTTCGCCGTCGCAAAACACAGGGATCAGGAGGCACAGAAGCACAGGAGGGTTCTCCCCATGCTGGACCGATCCGTTGGGGACCGATCCGTCTGGTTGGACCGGGACCCGGTCGGGCGTCGTGAACGGAGCGTCTGGGTACATACACCCTAGACTTCCAAGACCATTAAAACAATGGTTCACCTAGATTTTTATTGTGTAAAACCCTTAGTTGATTCAGCAAAGCCTATTAAATTAATGGTGGGCCAGGAAGCCTAGGGCCTAGGGTACATGTACCACATGAAATGACCCGACTTCACACCACCCCGACACTCAAAGACCTTCAGCGTCCCGAATCCGTAAGACCGATCGCATCGGGTATTCCCGAAGTAGGTCGCAGGCATCGGTGGCTGAGCTGGATTAGTCCCATGGAGCTGGATTGGTCCTCCCTAAGACTCCGAGCCTCGGGCTCGTCCGGGGTCAAAAGGGGCCTGAAGCAAACCCTATTTCTTTGAGGGCCCGGATTCTTAGGGCTGATCGTTTCTTTGAGAGACAACCAAACCCTAATTGTTGAAGCTAAACGGGACCTAACCCTGTTTCCGGGTGGTCTGGACCATGGAACATTCGGACAGGAGGTACCCTCCCGAACATCTGCGGGTATGGATGCGGGTGCCGCGCCAGCACTCCCTCGTGGCAAAGGTGGCAAAGGAGTCCTTTTTTAAATCAATCTAGACTGTTGATGATCTTTAAACCCCCCCAAGCCTGAAGGTGCTTTAAAATCCATGTCTTGGGGGGGTGTATGATGCTTTATGCTGCTTTATGATGTCGTTTTATGGATCAAGGAGCCTACCAGGTCTCCGACTTGTTGGATGGTTGCCGTTTCGGCGACTGTATCTCCTGGCAAAGAGGTGCAACCGCGAAAGGCACCAACGCCAATGTGGGCCAGTGAGTCTGGGACAATCAAGTTTGCCAAAGAGCTGCAATACTGAAATCCTCTATGTTAGTCACTGAGTTTGGGCCGCTCACGTTCACCATTAATGATGCTTGGAGTGCTATGTCCCTCAACCACCTCCACCTGCACCCGTGTCCAAAAACATTGCGCACCCGTTTGTCCCACCTCCATCCCATCACCCACGCCCGCCAAAAAACAGACCCCCGCCTGTTTTGAGCCCCGTGATGATCACTCACCATCGCGGTCACCCCGCCACGCAGGTCACACACCCACACCCCCGCGCGTCCGAGGACGCGCGGGGGATCTGCCGTGACTCACAACAGGTCACCGGCAAACTTCCGGATCAAGCCCTCCTGGCGCGATCTCCCCCCCCCCCGGCGAAGCCGGTGGACTCGTGGAGGAGGTGTGCAGGCGGCCAAGTGAAGGGGGGGGGGAAGCCGGTGGGTTCAAAAGCCAAGCTAAGCCTCAGTAGGTTCTCTGGTTGGAAGAGTGGAAAGCTTGCAGAAAAGAGTGGCGCACCAGTTCAGGGTGGATGGGACCCAGCTTTTTGCAGGTTTGTGGATCTGAAACCCATGCGGGTCTCCAACAGTGGGCTTTGGAACCAATCCAGTTGGATCTGGTCACCCAATCCTATTAGGACCTGCACCCCCTCCAAACAAGGAGATATGATGGCGGACCCAAAATTCCACTTTGGATTCGTTCGTGTGCGCCATCATGACTAGCTTGAGGCTAGCTTGAGGCTAGCTTGGGCCTCCACTTGGCCTGAAAACCTCCAGTTAGGGTCCTCGGCATACAGCTCTTGTCAGCTGGAGTCAAGCTGGCACCCCCATCTGAACATCGGATCGTCACAACACTCGAGCGGTCGCGGTCCAAAGGCAGCATCTCTTCCATCCTCACCAGCTTGAACCTCAGCACAGCTCAGCTTGAAGCTACGAGGAGAGGAGGGGATATGTGGTATCATGGTGCTCCATGTCCAAGGCACGTGAAGCCGACGTCTTCTGCGAGAAGCCAACTTGCAGGAAAGGTTCAATGACACAGATACACCCTAGAGCAGTTGAGTGAGTTCGACGATTGATTGGCACCGGTCACCTTTCCTCAGACCAGAATTATTTGTGAATTGTCGACTGGACTTCCAGATACTAGGGTGCCAATAGAAACAAGGAAGAACATGGAAGAAAAAGGCAAAACAATGCAAAACATTGAATTGAATTGATCATTGATGACAATGATAACAGGTTACTCCTGATCTTCCCTGCAGCGATGATGCCGAATCCTAGAAACAGCCAGGAGCACACCAGTTCCCCTCAACAATAATCGAAAAAACATCCAAAGACATCCTTCCTTTCAACTGCATAGACATCCATAAACATACCAGCACCTTCAAAGGGGTCACCCATGGAAGCCCCTACACTACTAAGGGACCTCCATTGGACACCCCTTGAAGGTCCAGGTATGTAGATCCCTTTTCTGAGCTGCTCATTGATCCTGGTCTGCAAGGTCAAGAAGAAGCTGCCGGCTTCTGGACGAATCGGCCAGACATGTCGCGCAACGGGAGATATGTCCGGCCCAGGCCACTCCAAAACGAAGAAGAGAAAGTGCTTGAAGCTACCTGGTGGACAAATGTGGAAAACCCACGAAAACCCCTGGGTGTCCTGTCTGGAGATCCCTAAGTAAGGGCTTCCAGCCAAGTGACCTCTTTGAAGGTGCGGGTGCTCTTCTTTATTTACTTTTTAGAAGGTGCGGATGTGAAGCACCGAACAGTTCCACAGGAAAAACTCGCGCGGGGGCAGTCAATCGCTTGAAACTCCTTGTAGGCAGGGCTTGTCTTTCTCTGACTGGGAAAGGTCAAAAACCAAAACCTGGATATGAATTATTGAATTAGGGAAGGTGCAATGGTTTGATTCATGTCGATTCATCTTTCATCCCCCCAACACGTGTTCAGAACTTTTACCATCTTTTACCATCCATCTTTGCGGGGAGGTGAACTTCTTCCTCAACCAGTTCCTCCAAATTCGCTGTTCTTCCAAGTCTCCTTGACTCCTAGAAACGACCCAGGCTCCTAGGTACTCGGATGGGCCCCAGGATGCTGCATGGAGCGAATATATGGCAACATATGGCAACATTGACCCCGTTGAAAAGCCAGTCCAATGTAAATATTCCGCTGGAGCGTCTGGTTGGGAGATGAAACACACCAGCAGCTCCATGGCCTCTTAGGGGACATTGATCGGATCTCGGTCCAAATGTGAAAAAAGATGAAGATCCAGGAGTCACAAAGGGGTGGTGTTTAGTTCCTAAGTGAGTGGATGTTCTGGGCACCCCCATCCTCCAATCAGCACCCCTTTGTGACTGCTGGATTATTGCCTTTTCTCGGTGATCTTCTCAATGTAATGTCTCATCCACCAAACAGCTGACGTTCCAAAAAAAGATCTTGGAGGCTACCTGCTACTCTCCCCTGTTTGACCTCAGCCCACCAAGCAACTGGCACCCACTGAAGAGTTGACGTTTCTTCAACCAATTTGAAGTTCATGGGACGTAGAGCCAATAGGCCAAGACCAAAGCAACCAGTGGGCAACGTCTCCGTTGCGCTTTCTATGCTTAGCTTGCTTCGCTTCCCATCCCGTCTCGCGTCTTCGCTGTCTCACCGAGGGACAGTTCACGTGAGCTTCAGCGCCAACTGCTTGGATCTGCGCGAAATGATGCACATACCTGGGGAGAAAAAAGAAACTATCCAACAGAGGTTGAAGAACCCGAACTAGGCTATCCCAGTTTGGTACCCTGGATTACAGGTCCTAGTTCAGGTCACTGGATACCTCTGTAGGTACGTCTCTTTTCCAACACGGCCACTGCGTTGGTGAGCCCCACGGTCTCGGGTTCTCTCGCTCCGGGCGCACCCGCATCGACCGAGGTCAGAACCGAGGAACGGAGGTGGAGGGCGAGCCGAAGGGAGGGCGAACTGGGTTTCATAGGGCGACATGTGCCATTGAAATAGGATGAAATAGGGAAGACCTCCACAAATGACAAAGCAAAGCCAAAGCATGGGAAAAACGAAGACCCCAAAACCTTCTTTTGGTCAAAACTGGGGGTCCCCGTATTTGCCACGCCGAGTTAGTTAGTCGGATCAGTCGTGGCACGGCGCATTCCACGTGGCGCGGCTGCTATATCGAACCCCGGTTGGGGGCCTGTCGCATCCACTCACATAAGGGGACTGAAAACCCTCCCAACTTGGTTGTTGGTTGTTGGTTGTTGGTTGTTGGTTGTTGGTTGTTGGTTGTCGTTGTCGTTGTCGTTGTCGTTGTCGTTGTCGTTGTCGTTGTCGTTGTGGTTGTTGTTGTTGTTGTTGTTGTTGTTGTTGCTGTTGCTGTTGCTGTTGCTGCTGTTGCTGCTGTTGCTGCTGTTGCTGCTGTTGCTGCTGTTGTTGTTGTTGTTGTTGACAACGGCAATGGTGATGTTGTGTTAATCATTTCCGAAGCAAGTGCTTTCCAGGTCACCATCCTCAGGGACGAACCCCGGCTGTTTTCGACCCCCGAGCACTTGGTGACAAGCGAAGAAACTGAGCTTCTTCAGTTCCAAGCCATCAGGTTACTTTGAGCATCTGGCGAACTCCATCTCACAATTCTCACAGATAGATCACCACCACACCGGGTGGTAGGGAACATGGATGAACATGGCGTCGTCTTACGGCGCCCGCGGTCACTGTCCGTCCCAGCATGGCGCTCGCCCATCTCATCAGTCCATGGTTGTAGAGTCACAGCCATACCATGGTCACTCCCTAATGTAGACTCTTGATCAAAAAAGGGCACTCAATTTTGGATTGAGACATCGGGGCTTGAAATATCATCAACAATCTACCTCACTGATCTACTACCGAACAAAGAAAAGAACACACGCACAGTTCCTCTTCCCACCTCCTTCATGTCTGCCTTCTCCCACCCTACCATACCCTACCATACCCTACCCTACTCACCCCACTCTGCGCGTTTCTCAGCTCCGGCGTTCAAAAGCCCCACCTGTCCCACCTGTCCCTGTGCCGTGGGCGTCGCCGGGTCACGCGTGGGCGTAGATCCGGAAGAGCCGCCGCAGCATCGTGGCCAGCTCCGGCCGCAGGGACGCCGGCATGGGGCTCCCGTCGCAGGGCACCAGTGCCTGTCACGGCACGGCGGCGGGTCCAAACGGGTGGTTCGGTGCGGTACGGACGAGGGAGGACCAGAGACCAAGGGGCCCGAAGCAAACCATGAAACATGGTTTTCACATACCAAAACCGCGAGGGAAAACCAGGTGTTTGATGGTTTGTGGGGCCCCTGGTATGCAGTGTCTGTGTGTGTGCACATGTGTTGTTCTTTTTAATGGCTTTAAGCAGGTGTTTCATTCAAACTTAGACACGCTTGAAAGCTAGGTGTGCTTGTATACATACAACATATAAGTAGACCGTTCAAACCAGCTTTGGGGTGTAACATGTAGTGAACGATAGTGAATGTAAAAAGAACGTCTAATTAGGGGAGAGGCAACTGAAATAGCATGGTAGAGATTCCATGGGTACGTTGTTCAAGTCAGTGGACAACTCGTCCTGCTTTGGCGTTCCTCAAAAGCACCAAAGCGTGGCTTGGATCAAACATGATCAAAAAGCGGTGATCGAGCTTCTCAGGAATCCATTCCTAGCAGAAACCGCTGGCAGCTTCCCATCTCCCGGCACCCTCCCGGCACGGCCCGGCCCTGCGGGCGCCAGCTCGAACGAACGGGTCGCCTGGTCGAGGAGCTTTCGATCCGCCCAGTCGATCAAGCGCTGCATGTAGCTAATGGCCGGCCTCGAGGAGCTTAACGATCGAGAGAGAGAGCGGTCGAGACGAACGATCCGCACCGTGGCCGGAAGAAGCGGCGGAAGAAGCGGCGGGAGCGTTGCGGAAGAAGCGGCGGTCTGCCGCGGGTGTTTCTTATGGGTGTGAGGTTGGACATGCAGCCCCAAGGTCTGAGATTCGGGGTGAGGCACTACCAGGTGACCTTCCGACATTCGGGGTGTCTATGTCCATGGCCCCAAAACATCTCTCTCTCTCCTCTCCCGCGCGCGCGCGGGCGAAAGGGCGTCCCGGGCATCGACTCTGGAGCTGCCGCGGTGCCCTCCTCGGCCCACTTGTACTCCGTGGAGTCGCCTTTCAGCCAACGAGCCGACCAGGCGGTTGGCCCAGGAATCGATCCCCGGTCGCGGTCGGGAGCAGGAGCAGGGCTGGCAAAAGGGTAGCTTTTTTTGCACAGGTGACGACCAGATGGTTCCAATTCGGGTCTTTTTCATCCGTGCTACACTTCCCGAAGAAATCCATGATGACGACCTAAATGGGGAAGCTGGCCCAAAATGCCTGATCCCTGTGAAACCCCCGGGTTCGACGCCCCGACCGGTCAAACCCGCCCGTCTCGCCGGGTCGACGGACACCCGACCGGACCCGTTGGACGAGGCCTTGCAGATCGGAACCGGCGATGAGATCGATCAAAAACCGCCAGCACCGACCCCCCTAGGGGCTGCCACACCCCTGGGTTATCCATCTTCTACGTCCGGACCTGGGTTCCTGACCGTAACTGTGACATACTGGAGATGGTCCTAGAAAACCGATACTTAAGTATTAAAGGAGGCAAAAGACAAAGGTCTTGATTGGTCAGACTGGACTTGTAGGGGATACTATAAAGGAAATGGTTGGTGAGTCGATTTTAATACACACATCCACAGAAGCTGTTCAAAATTTGAGGTTAGCTTCATGGCTGCCTGGCGCGCCAGGGACTGTGCCATGTTCTATCTATTTTGGATACCGCGGATTAATACTATAGGCATATTAGAGGCTTGAGGCCTCTCAAAGTGCAATCCTTGTCACGGCGCACGCACAGATTCCGACTTCAGTTGGATATTCTTCATTGCATTGAAGGGCCAATGTGGACACTGAGTCCAGCATGAGCAAGTTCGCCAACAATGCACAACCCTCCAAAAGCAGTATCTCCGATGTGGGTCACTGAGTTTGGAATGGTTATATAAGTTCGACAAAGACCGTGCAATCCTCAAAGGCGCGATCCCCTGTGGTCACCTTCATCAGGGATGGTCAACTTCATCAGGGAAGTGCAATCCCCCAGGAAACATAGAAAAAACGTCTTGCCCCTGCCAATTATATACCCTAGCCTTCAAACAGAAGCGATGCGGCGATGAGACATTCGAAGGCGATGAGACAGAAGCGGGGAAGCTCAAACTCCCATGCCAAAGGGTCCATCCATTTCGTGGCGCAAAAAACATATGGCCGACATGACTGGAGGTTTTGGGTGGTGAGTTTGGTGGTCAAAATTTGGCAACCCAAAGGAGTTGATGATCATCGACTTTGAGTTGTTTCTCAATGCCATGCAGCTGTTCCAGCTTTGGTCAGAAAAAATACGTTGAGAAACACTCAAACACCAATCCACCTCTGGTAACAACTCAGAATATTCCAAAGTATACGGGATTCTTCGAAAATTGGATGATTTCCTGCTCCTGGGGCCCAATTTGGTGGGCAATGAATCAGCATCTGTCGACCAGACACCAAAAAGTACCAAGCAAACCAAAAGCCCTGGGAGTCCAGTCGACTATAAAAAGAATGGTCTGACGAACGGTGACCCGGTCGTCCAGGATAGTCCAGGAACTTCCTGAAACCTTCAGCCGGTCAAAAAAACCTTGGTTCCCTGGACTTCCAGGGAACTTCCTTTCTTGTTGAGTGTGTCTTCCATGCCCGGAGCGGAGCTCCCCTCTTTTTTAAAGGATGCCGGAACACGATCTCACCTCGGTCTCACCTTCCCACCTGGCGAGGAGTCGATCTGTCGAAGTCGATGTCGAGTTCCAGGGGCAGCCGGGACTGGACACCAGCTGGAACTTGGCATTCATGACAGAAACCACTCTCAAAGGCAGGAAACCTTCGGGGAGAGCTGCAAGCCAGGCACCTGGGTCCCAAGTCACTCTTGGCTATGACTCTTTGGCACCGCAAATTCAGCACCTCTCGATGGAGACGAAAACAATACCAAAGACGTGCAACCCTCAAAGGCCCCATCTCCAATGTGGGTCACGGAGTCCGGGATGGTCAAGTTCACCAAAGATCTGCAACTGTGAAAGGCACCATCTCCAATGTGGGTCACCGAGTCTGGGATCGTCAAGTTTGCCAAAGACTTGCAGCCCTGAAAGGCACCGTCCCGAATGTGGGTCACTGAGTCCGGGATGATCAAGCTCGCCAAGGAGCTGCAACCAACGAAGGCACAATCCCCAATGTGGGTCACCGAGTTTGGGATCGTCAAGTTTGCCAAAGAGCTGCAATTATTGAAGGCCCAATCCCCAATGTGGGTCACTGAGTTCGGAATGGTCAAGCTTGCCAAAGAGAAGCAACCCTGAAAGGCACCGTCCCCAATGTGGGTCACTGAGTTCTGGATGATCAAGCTCACCAAAGAGGTGCAATAATCAAAGGCACCGTCCCCGATGTGGGTCACCGAGTCTGGGATCGTCAAGTTTGCCAAAGAGCTGCAATTTTGAAAGGCATAGTTCCCAATGTGGGTCACCGAGTTCGGGATGGTCAAGTTTGCCAAAGAGCTGCAAGCTTGAAAGGCAGAGTTCCCAATGTGGGTCACCGAGTCTGGGATGGTCAAGCTTGCCAAAGAGCTGCAATTCGAAAAGGCACGAGCTCCAATGTGGGTCACCGAGTTCGGGATGGTCAAGTTTGCCAAAGAGCTGCAAGCTTGAAAGGCAGAGTTCCCAATGTGGGTCACAGAGTCTGGGATGATCAACTTGGCCAATGCGTCGCAACCGACAAAAGCGAATTGACAAATCTGTGTTTCAGTGTCTGGAATTTCGACCACAAGCAGCAATTCGGAGTCAAGGATGTCGCCAAGACGGGCGATCGCTTCTTCGTTGGAGCATATCACTTTGTTTGGTTTGAAGACAACACTCACAACAGAATCTTCAGCAGTTCCAGCTTCCAATACCTTTGCATCATTGGCCAGCAATCGGTTGCCTCCCACGATAATCTCTACAACTGTAGTGCTGCGAGTGAGCTCGTCCCAAGGCTTGCCTTCCTTGATCTGGCGCTTGAGCTTGCGGCCTGTTGTCTCTGGCGTGACTTCAAGCGTGAGCATTTCACCACTCACCTCCAGCACTGAAATTGTCGTTGTCATGGCTCAAAAACTATATGCGGATGTGGTTTTGAGCTGATTGCTTGTTAGCTAGCGGCTTGAAACTATGATCGTGGACACATGGACATGGCTGGCTTCTTGGGGTGATTGCGACACCTATCATGATATTGAATAAAACATTTGAACAAGAACGTCCAAAGAAGTCGATGTTGGAGCTGAGTAAACTGCTCCCAAATCACCACCCGAACCGCAGGGGTGGTCTCAGGCGACCTCAAAACCACCGAACCGGCGTGGGTCGAGTCGAGTGTCGCGGGGGGCGAACCCTAACGGCCCCGAACCGGACGGAGGAACCGACCGACCGCGCCTGCACACATCTTCGGGCAGCGGCTCTCATGGCAGAACTCTCCCATGAAGTGCACCATTCGGACCGCCTCCTGGCTTTGCGGAACGGGCACCCGCCTGGACCTCTCGGGGAAACCCTGGACCTGTTCGGGCGCGTTTGAGCGGTGCACCGCGAAGAGAGGTGTCCACCACGGAAAGGGTCGCTGAGCTGAAGGGATCAAACGAAGGGGACTCGTTTCCTCCGTCTGCGGAGGGTAGAAATGCACGAGAGGGTCCAAACTAGCACCCTCCAACAGGCTGTTAGTTGAGGGTTGTTGGACCCTAACAGGTCTCAATTGGTGACCTGTCGGAGGGTCCTGGAATGGATGTGTTTGTTTAAAGCAAAAAGACTTTATGTCCCACCAATTGGTACCTGTCTTGATACCTGCGACGAGTGGGCATAGTGGGGGAGCCTGAAAAACACCCAGTATCACCAGGTGCAGTGAGGTGTTCTGTGTCTTGGACATTACGAACCGTCCACTCCCGCTCCACCTGCTCAGAGGTGGAATGACCAAAACTAGACGAACTACCGGTTGGGTACCCCAGTGGGGTCCTAGTTCAGGTCACTCCACTCCCTCTCCTGCTCCACTCATCTCTGGAATCGGATGCGACGAAGACCCGGGGCTCCCAGCGACGAAGATCTCCTTCATCTGAGCGGCGATCCAGGTGTCCTCCGACCATCCCAGACCAACCGCGCTGGGACGATTGGCGAACGTGGCCCACGGAGGGAGAGGGTCGGAGGATGCGAACGGACCCGGAAAACCTGGCATACCCAACCGGGATCCGAACGTTGGGGTTCTTCAACCTGTGTTGGTTGGTTGATTGCACTATGTCTGATGTGGCTGTTCTTGTCCGACCACTCTTGGGAGGAAAAATGGTGCCACTCTTGGAGAAACCCCAAACAGACACCTGATGAAGATGAAGTGTCTTGATGAAGACCATCCCCCAACATCTCAAAGTCCTTCGAAGTCCTTCGACCAGAAGCTTTTTCGACTCTTTATTATAGCCTCCAACTTTCAGGAACCTCAACTGCCTCAGCTCTCTTCCTAGCAACCAAAACCTCCTCTTCACCAAACTCCCTAGACCCTCAACCTTCTCGTCCCCCCTTGCCCCTCACCCATCTCCACCCCCCATGTCGCGCCCTTCGCTCCGTCCGCGCGCTTCCGGCGCTTCGTCCGCGCGAGCGCGCCTCGTCCACGCTGGCCGGACACCGGACCGCTTCCCGCAGTTCGGCGGTGCCCAACGTCTCCTGGCGCCGTGCGGAGCGTGCGGAGCGTGCGGAGCCCGGAGCCGTGTGGAGCCGTGCGTGGTCGGTGGATCGGTTCCAACGAGAGGTGCCGAGGACGGTGGGCTTGGGAGAAGCGGCAAGAGGTGGGCTTGGGGGGGTCAATGGAAAGGGGAAGTGAGGTGGTGAGGATGTGGGCTGGTAGGAGGTTTAGGAGCTTTTGGACGGGGTGAGTGTTTTGGTGGGAGGATTGGTGTGCGAAGTGCTAAGATTGCTAAGAATAGATCTTTGGGATGCAACTGCTGCGGCTAGTGAGAGGAGACATTGCCAGCATCAGCGTCAATGTCTTTAAATTGTTCATGCTCAAAAGCTCATCTCAGAACATTTTGTCTGTCATTGTCTGCAGTTGAATGCCTTCGTCCAAGTTTGCACACCTCCGCCATTCATTCGAAAAAAGATGGTCGAACCAAGCGTTGGAAAACGAGCTCTTGGAACGGCTTCTTCTTGCCGTTGTCACGACCAGAGGTGGAGAGTGACCCAGTGACCGAACTAGGAACCCCGGGTTTCACACCCCCGAGGTACCGACGTCACTGGGATCATCGAACTAGGTCGGGTTTTGCCCACTGCGATGCTTTCACCGTGCGAGGCGCAACAGGCCCCCGCAGGCGCCAAAGGCCCAAGAATCCCCCCCAAAACGGTCCAAAGGCCCTGCTGCCGTGGGCGCTCCCGTGGGCGCTCCGGGCCGCGGAAAGTGAAAGATCATTCAAGGACGATTCAATCTACTTCTATTTAGCACTGACACGGTCCGGGTGCCCTGGAGTAGTAAACCTGGTAGACGTAGGGTGGTCGAACACCCATGTCCAGGATGAATCTACTTCTAGACATTCAAGTTGATGATGATTCAATCTATACCTCTATAGATCGAGGTATGGGCAACATAGGGCAACTACCAGCACCCGCCCTTCGTTCGGTGCTTCCTGTGGAAACCAAGTCCGGTGTGCAGAAAAAAAGCACCTGCCGGTGGGGTCTCCAAACAACCGACCGGAGGGTCCTGGTACATGTTGACCTCTCCTGACGTGGGCTCCGGCGGTTCGCTCGTCCTGGCCTGGGATTGAAGGTGTGAAAGCTGAGCTCCCGCCAGGAGCTTCGGCAGGGTCATCGGCATGGTGCCCTGGAGTGCCGGAGCGGATCGAGGTGTTCGCAGCAACGCGCGCGGGAGCGGGCTCGAACGAAGTGCTTCCCCTGGACCGGATCGAAACCCGACCTGCCAAACCAAGGACCAAAATCAATTGAGCTGGTGGATTGCAGGAATCCGACTGGAACGATGCAGAGCAACGTGCCAGACCAACCGTGGCCCCCGCCTTTTCCGTCTCTCCTCCCCGCCAAGTCGCCGCTAGATGCGAGAGATCAACGGGGTTCCCTCCGTCCCATCGTTCGACCTGAAAGGCACCTGCTCGTGCCTCTCCACTACGCGGTTCATTCATGTGAGAACGGAGCCACCGCGAGAGCCACCGTGACGAACGAGCCGTTGCGAAGAAGCCAGGAGAGTGCAGGAGAGCCATTGGATTTGGGCGAAATGCAACGAGTTGGTCTCCTTGAAAAAAAGATGTTTCATCCATTTGTTCATAGGGTGAGAGCAGGGGAAAGGCTCAATCAAAAGAAGCAGCCCCGTCCGTTCACCTTGCCACTCATCCGTGAGACCTGTATCAAAGATGACCAACCCTCGGAACCCGGTTCGTGGCTTCCACGCACCAACGGTCACTAACGAATTTGAGGCAGTGGGAGGTGGCTCATCGGAAACCACCACCCAAAGGCTCAGAGGCAGGACCCTCAGTTCGCTAGGGTGAAATGACCGTCACAACCAGGGTTTTGCACCTCCAGCAGTTAGAGGGTCCATGAGCCTCTGGGTAGACAAGTTCCCAGTTGCTCAGTTGAGCACTTCCCATCCCCATTACCGGCGCCTCTGCCATGATGCTTGAGCTGTTCTGCAAAGAAAGGGACAAGGTCAGTGAAGCTTGAGCTGACGGGCTTCAAAGCACCAGGCTAGCTCCGTGTTCATATAGTTCACCCAACAAAAACAGGTAGTCGATACGTGCTTGCGGGGTCGCAGGGAGGAAAACACCCTCCTCCTGGCCGAGCAATGATCATCTTCCAAGCCCTGTTGCCACCTTGCGGAAGTGCATCCAGAACAACCCCTGCTTTCGAGAGTCGAAACGAGACTCAGCCGAACAGCAATCTCTGTGCCCCTCTTCGCCACTCTGTGATGGATGGAGTAGCAAAGGGTCTTGGAAAATTATTTTCTAATCTCCAGCAGATTAACATGGACCCCCAAAAGCATTGGGTTGTAGAGGAAAATTGTCTTCCATAGTCTGCAGGGAAGAACCTGGACCATCCAAAAGGTGTCCTGGCTGGACTACCCTACACTGCTATCCGGGAAGTCCAGCCAGGACACCCAGACAGGATGCTCCTGGTAGTGTCTGTGTTTCACAGTTGATTGAAAATCATCTAAATGGAAGTGGATGTTGGATCTCGTCATCCTTGAACCTCCAAAAGGAAAACTTCCGGAGGTCGGTTCTCAAGGGAGTCCTACCGTTCGGACCGGGTTCGTGGCCCACCATTTCGTGTCAGGACCAGCCGGCGACGTGGGACCATTCTACTTCATCGTTTCTTTAGTCCTTATATGAGTTACATGTGTTTGGGCCAGCCATTGAAAGAAAAATTGGATGCAATAGATCAAGATCCACACATGCCAGCACCGGCCGCAGATAATCCTGCAGATTTGGATGGCAACAAGCCGCCCCTTTTTGAGTCGAACCACAATGCACAGCACCACACATTGGCACAGTTCAAGTCAGACTTCTGAATGAGGCGCACATATGCACAAATACAATGGCCCACATGTGGAAAAAATAAATAAGCCAAGAGCACTTTTCAACTGCACACTTGGGTTGCTCAGCCTGGAATCGTGCATCTACAACGAACGGCTCAGAGCTACCCATGGTGTTGTCACAACACCCATCCTACGGCAGGACGCCCTCGTCAACGTCAAATCGGCAGGGCGTCGCACTTTGGAGGGGTCTACCTGTCTAACTGTGCAGCTCGTTGCTTCTCCCCGGTCAGGTCTATTTGGACTTTTCTGAGGCGGATCCTGAGCCCATGTTAACATGCTTTAATCATCTTTGATCTTCTAGTCCCCCAGAATGTGTGATCTGAGTGCGTTGCGAGGGAAGGAAGAGAAACATGATATGGTTGATGATGATGTGCAACATGCTGAGGGACCAACCTGTGGCGGATCTTGATCTATCATGATCTATCACATCTGCATTCGCATGTTTCTCTCAAACAACGAGGAAACAACGAGGAAACGCGGAAATAGGCATAGAATCAGGCTTCCAGCTAGTGAAAAGGGCCATACGGATACATATTCATACATATTCATCGTTCAAACATATTCAATGACACCTCCTTTGAAGTAGAAGAAAGGGAAAGGTATTGAAGCTGAGTCGGTACAACTTGAAGTAACATCACCTGCTTCCCAAAGGTTCTGTTGAATCAACAGTTACTTCCCAGGTCTGAATGGCGCCATGCGATCTACCATTTCCTGCAGCTGCTTCGCAGACGCCGATCTCGGTGAAACCTCTCTCCCAGTCTGCGGAATTGCGGCTCATTGCTTCAGCCACTGAGGTTAAGACGGTGAAGACCGAAGTAGAATGTCTCCACCATGTGCAAAACCCTTGCAATCTCATGCAGTCTCATGCAGTCTCAGGATTCCCCTCACCGGAAAGGCATTTCTAAAGGTGACATCGGCGATGCAGTGATCATGTTAATCCTGGGAATTCGGGTGAAACGAGGACCGAAGGCGAATCACTTGGGCGCTACGGCACTTCGCCCTGAGGCTCCGCGGGTCACTGACCAAATCATTGAATACAGGTGATCAGGCGGCGATCAGGCGATCAGGCGATCTGATCAATCCTGGGAATTCGGGTGAAAACGAGGACCGAAGCCGCATATCAGAACATCCCCAACCAAAAACCTTGCTAAACCATGCTAAACCTACCGTTCTCCCTGTCACTGTTGCAGAGTTCATTGATTGATGGCTGGGATGCTCCGGCCTCCTGACTCAAGAGGTCTGCCTGCGGGCTTTACGCGAGGTGTGCTGAGCCCATCCTGAACACCGAACAAGTCGACCAGTTTGTGGGAGGAAACTTACTGTGTTTGTCATCGATTTCACACATCCAACCAATCGAATCATGGCAGCCATGGAAGAACGAAGCTGCCGACCACCGCCCTCCATCCCCGCTCCGCCGGTCTGGACGGTCGCCCCGGTCGACCGCTTGGGTGATTCACACCCGACCCACTGAGACGGGGGACGGAGCGTTCGGAACCTCCATGGCCTGACCCTGACCGAATCCATCGAGTGAAGGCGTCTGGGGGCGGCCACGGAGCTGCTGGGCAGCTCTTGGATGGAAAAGACATCCAGAAAAGGCATCAGAAATAGGAAAAAAACACGGGAGGCTTCGTGCTGCTGCTCTGCTTCTTTCCCCTTCCTTGAGAACCCGTCCTTTGGAATCAAACGAGGCCCGTCCCATCCTCCGCCCGGGCGGGGCGCGTCCTGGCCAACCGCCGCGGTGACCACCGGTGTGGCCTCCAGCGAAGCTGGAGCGGAAGTGGATCAACCCGGCGTGCGGAAGGCTTCGGTTCGACCAGAACCGAAGCTCGAGACCTGTGCAGTGCGACACCCATCTGTGGCCCTTTTTCTTGAAGCTGCCCGGCCTTTCTGTCCTCTTTGTGGGTGTGCCAGGCCCCTTCGTGTCTTGGACCAACTTTTGGAAGAGACCACGGACCACAGAGGGACCACGGCCCCCGCGATCTGCCGTCGCAGATGAGGTCCATCAAGTGATGCGAACGGTGTGAACGAAAGGGCGCCCAGCGCCGAAGAAATGGGTCTATTGTTACGTGGCAAGGGACTGTAAGTGGTCAAAGAAGAGTGTTTTTTGGAGTGGCAGGGTACGCTAAGGAGGTCCGGCCCCAATGGACATCCGATTCTTGGAAGGCTTCTAATATGGAGAAGCATATGAAGATCCATGCAGTACCCGTTGCCTTCACACTGCCTTGGAAATATAACGCTCGCACGCTTTTTCTGCCCCGGAATGAAAAAGCGGCAAGAGTTCTACATCCTCATCCTGAACGTTCCACTTCTTCTCCTTCAGGCATCCCAAACCAACCCATGCGCTTCCGGAAAAGCGCCTTCCCGAACGCGAGATGGCTGGCTGGAACCTTTTTTTCGGGCCCGAACCTCCGGGACTAGCGTACAGTGGGACCGCGGGATCCGCGGTGGATCCAAAATGGAAACATCGAGTGCATCGAGGCGCGCCCGATCATCGAGCGAATTGGACGGTGGACGTCCATTTTGGACGTCCCGTGTTTGCTGTTGGATGTCTTACACTGGTTCGGTCAATCATGGCCTGGTCTTTGGAATTTCATGCCCATCCTTCAGTACAATAAGTCTGCAAACAGCCGAAAGCCATCGCTTTTCGTTGTGGCAACACGCTATGAAATCTATCACTCATCAAAGGAGGACATCACACTGTTCTCTCAACATATCACACAATGCCGGACGGAAGCCCGACATTGAAACCACCTACCGCACCGATTGGAACAGAACAGTAGATTAGACGTGAGCCCAGACGCGACCCCACGGTTCACCGAATTGCAAGTCCGCCTGCGGTTCACTCTAAAAATTGCAAGTCCTGCATCTTCTGCGCACTCTGGCATGAGCTGCTTCTACCTCGACGTCGGTGGCATCTGTGCTCTCCGTTGACAGGACTTCACTGAGTTCATCCAAAGCTGCCAATGGATTCGCAGAGATCAGAGTCAGTCGGCCCAAGAGCGGAGGACGAGTGCATGCAAATAACGTGAAGAGATCATGCCATGAAGGCTCGATGGACTCCAACAAGGGAATCTTGCATTCTCCCCAGCTATTCTCCCCACAAGCAACAGCGTGGCCATCACTTCGGAGTAGCACTGTATGGCGCGATCCGGCAGAAATCTGCGTGTAGGACAGTCCTTCATCCAATGCTGGAAGGTTGCATTGTCCGCAGAGTCTTCCTCCACAAGCAACTGCCTTTCCATCACTTCGCAGAAGCACTGTATGAGTCTCTCCTGCGGAAATCTGGGTGTAGGACATTCGATCATCCAACGCTGGAATGTTGCATTGTCCAAACCTATTTCCTCCGCAAGCAACAGCCCGGCCATCGCTTCGGAGAAGCACTGTATGGACCCCTCCTGCGGACACCTGGGTGTAGCGAATTCCCTCATTCAAAGCCGGAATGTCGCATTGGCCCAAGTCATTGACCCCACAAGCAACAGCGCGGCCATCACTTCGGAGAAGTACTGTGTGGTTCGATGCTGCAGCCTGTGTGTAGGTAATTCCCTCCTCCAAGGGTGGAATGTCGCATTCCCCTGTTTCTCCACAAACAGGAGCGCTTCCATCGCTTCGGATCAGCACTGTATTACGCCTTCCTTGGATTTCTTTGAGGAACCGGGAAAACAGTCATTTCCCCTAAGCAAATTTACTCTCCCTGGAACTAACATGGAAGTGGATGGCACCACCTGTTTGTAGTGGAAAATGGTCTTCCAAGGGGCCATTCTCCACTTCCATGGTAGTTCCAGGAAGTGTAGAGAAAGTAAAAAATCGGCTTATAGCAAAACCATGCTTCCTGCATAGCCTTGGGTGTTGCAAATGTCCGTATCCGATGCTGGACTGTTGCATTGTTCTGCATGCTCTGGATCTTCTCCTCCGCATGCAACAGCGCTTCCGTCACTTCGGATCAACACAGTGTGAGACCGTCCTGCAGAGACTTGGGCATAGCGAAGCCCCTCATCCAAAGCTGGAATGTTGCACTGTTCTGCACGCTCTGGGTCTTCTCCTCCGCATGCAACAGCGCTTCCGTCACTTCGGATCAACATAGTGTGAGACCGTCCTGCAGAGACTTGCGTGTAGCGAAGTCCCTCAT